AAAAAGGGAACCAACCCATATCGACTACAACTTTCTCAAAATTTCTCAAAGCCTGCAGGAGACAGAAGGACCCCAAAACAATAGCCAAAGAATATACATCAAATATCACAGGACTTACCAACATGCTGGAAGAAAACCTATTCCTCACGAAAGACTACAACCTAAGAAGAAGAATGAAACTTATCATTGATGGACTCAGAGTTCATCATGGTCAAAGTCCTGACACTTAACATAAGAAGCATCAAACGAGAAATGAAACAAATTCAACTTGCTTTGTATGTCAAAAGACAAAGGCAGATATCCTCCTACTGCAAGAAACAAACCTCTCTGACATAACAGCACTACCGGGGCTCCCCTTGTACACTGTAATACAGAACCCAACAATATTATCAGGATCAGGCACAGCAATAGCCATACTCACAAATCTAACACCCCATGTAGTAATTAATTCGCACCACACCCTCGTAACAGACTACCTACAGACATGCCACATTACGCTGTATCACACAGAACTCCAGCTAATAAACATATACTACATGCTAATAAGTACAACCCGAGCAATGACAGTAACACCTTAGAGGAACATATGAAGAATACTCCGCTAGACAGGAGAGTACTCATCGGGTGAGACTGGAACGTCACCCTAGAAGCACGTGACAGAGAGCACCATTTGGAAAAGCGCACATCACTTGCACAAATAAACTGGAAACCTTAACGCGTACAAACCAGATGGTAGATGTATGGAGAAGTTTTCACCCTGACAGCAAGCAATTCACATGCCGCGCGAAGCAGACAACTAATCCCGAATACAGACTAGATAGAATATACATTTAAGACAACTGGCTTCACCAGATACACTCCGCCCATATATGCCCCTGGTTTGCAGACCACGCAGGACTATCCCTCGATGTACTGTCACCCCCCAAAACACAGCGTCTAGCTTTCTGGAGATTCAGAAACATGCTTCTCAACGACAAATACTTCGTTGACTCCATCACAAACATTATACAATATTATATTATGTTATCAAATGAAGGAAACAATATGCACGAAGTATGGGAAGAAATGAAGCAGGAAATACAGTTACAGGCAGACAGATATGACGACAACCAAACACAACAGAAGAAGAAACAATTAGAACAACAAATCAGCTATCTAACTGGGAAACATGATCTCACATAAGCAGAAGAAATAGTCCTTAATTCAGTAGACACCACACTACAAAACAAATTTCAGCAAGATGCCCGAAGACAAATATTAAAAAAATTCAACCTAAACACATACCAAAAAAACACACTCCTACCCATTTACCCCAAAAAAGTTTTCACACCCAACAGCCGCAGCTTCAAGCCATAAAATTACATGATACACTTCTAAGCGAACCTAATGAAATTCGAACTGAACTACGGAAACACTTCCAAGAATTCTACAGTAAGGAAGGACACAAACCAGACATAAGGGATGACATCTTCTCCAACTAATCATTACTTCATCAAGAAATACGTGAAAAATGCGAAGCACCCATCACCATAAATGGGCTGACTACAGCGCTCCAAAATTCAAATCCAGGAAAATCACCCGGACTGGATGGGCTCACATGTGAACTGTACAGGAACTTCTGGAATGAACTTGGCCCTCTGCTCTTACGAGTAGCAAACATCAGTATGCAAGAGGGAAAACTGCCAACTTCCATGCTTAATGGAATAATAACCCTTATCCCCAAAACAGGATACCTCACACTGTTATCAAACTGGAGACTAGTAACGCTACTACGTTGTAAATACCGACTACAAACTAATAACAAAATGTCTAGCTGGAAGAATAACATCAGTCCTCCAAAACCTTATCACCACAGACCAAAGCTATTGTATACCAAACAAAACCATTCATACCAACTTGCACATCATCCGAGACGCCATAGACCATGCAAACACGCACGATCTGTCGCTTGCAGTCATATCGCTTGACCAAGCCTCAGCATATGCCTGCGTGGAACACCCTTACATTTTCTACGTACTGGAAAGTTTCGGCTTTGGAAATAACTTTATTCATAACGTACGAACTGTGTACCGCAATGCGCAAGGACTGGTTAAGACTAAAGGCACACTCACAGCGCCCTTCAAATATGGAAGAGGAGTGCGACAAAGCGAACCCCTCTCCGGGCCACTTTTCACGTTAACAACTGAGCCTTTCCTCTTATTATGCAACCAAAAGCTACGAGATTATGGACTCAAAGTACCGGCTTCCGTCAACAGAACACTGGTCACCAGCGCATATGCAGACGACATCACGGTATTTATTACAAAAGATGAAGGGTTTCCACGCCTGCTGCAAAACTTCAAGGTTTATGGTCCCATATCATGAGCTACTTTAACATACAAAAATCAAAAGGACTGTTTGTAGGCCGGTGGAGAAACAGAACAGACCGCCCATTGGCCTTCCAATGGAGTGAACAGGGCGGAAAGTACCTGGGAATCTACCTAGGCAACACAGACGATTGGCAGCAACAAAATTGGACACAATTTGAAATCAAGATACGAGCAATACTACAAAAGTGGGAACAAGTACCGCAAGCCACATCATATCCTGACAGAAAACAAATACTAAACCAACTAGTGGGAGCCAAAATGACACACGTACTGACCATATTCCAACCCACCACCACATTTCTAGACACGATGCACAAGCTGATAGTCAATTTCACATGACAGGGCAAACACTGGAAACATCCTAACTTCGTATATGGAAGACTGGGAGACGGGGAAATAGGCCTGCCCCACCTCCCAACCCCAATTAAAACCATACGCTTCAACTTTTTTCAAAATTTTATAACCAGAAATAACGAAGATAATGCATGGTACTTCCAAGCAAACAACATCAGGATGTATACCCCAGTCCTACACGCAGAAGCCGTGCTGAAACTGAACTTGAACCCAGCGCACCTTCCCGTACTGACACACTTCTACGCCAGCGCACTCGAAGCATGGCACGGAACTTCCAAGCAAACAACATCAGGATGTATGCCCCAGGCCTACACACAGAAGCCGTGCTCAAACTGAACCTGAACCCGGCGCGCCTTCCCAGACTGACACCCTTCTACGCCAGCGCACTCGAAGCCTGGCACGGTACTTCCAAGCAAACAATATCAGGATGTATGCCACAGGCCTACAAGCAGAAGCCGTGCTCAAACTGAACCTGAACCCAGCGCACCTTCCCAGACTGACACACTTCTGCGCCAGCGCACTCGAAGCCTGGGCCGGTACTTCCAAGCAAACAATATCAGGATGTATGCCACAGGCCTACAAGCAGAAGCCGTGCTCAAACTGAACCTGAACCCAGCGCGCTTTCCCAGACTGACACCCTTCAACGCCAGCGCACTCGAAGCCTGGCACGACATTAGACTCATTGTTGACCCCAACCTACAGTCCCTTGAAGACCTAAGACACATTCCCTTGCGCGACTCCACCCTCATGAACCCACATATTTCCGGCCACAAAGTTATGTTTGACGAAGCTTGGAAGGCTCTAAATATAAACTACATAGGAGACAGCATCATGGTGAATGGCCATTGGAAAGAACTAAAAGACATCGACACAACACACTGTTCTCAACCGACCACCCGTAGACTGGCAGCAAACCTACAAAAAGCAGAAGTCTTTTTCCACCACAATTACCCAAACCTTTCAATGAAGACCACTTCCTTAACACAACCCCCCAGCGATTACGTCATAAAACAACCCTACGGCCAGCTGACTCCCCAATATAAACAAAAAAGCAATGGTCAACGGAGAATATCATAGGCAACTGGGAAAATCCCTGTGGAAAGCAATATATCACCACCCCATTATGAGCAAAGACGGCGACTTCTCATGGAGGATGCTACACAATAGAATAGCCACACCGCAACAGCTGCACAAATGGGTCAAGAAGGACACACTAGACTTCCCCTGGTGCCCAGGCACAACAGGGACGGCGGATCACATGTTCTTCGACTGCCCCACAGTCACAGCCTTCTGGTGAGGTCTAACCAAGACGCTCCATGACCTGCTGGGCCCACACCCATTGCAAAAGACGCAAATATTATATGGATACCCCAAACTAGACACCACACCCCAACAACTTGCCAATTACTTAATATCCCCAGCCAAGACAACCATATACAAGACATACCTAGCAACGACGAACACCCACGAAAAACCATCAGACTACCAACGCATGTATCGTATAAGGCTGCAATTCCGACTAAATCTAGAAAAACACTACAGCATATGGCAAGATTACGTCGAGGCGATCGAGAGGTACTGGCTGCACAAACACATACTTGGAAAAATTGAAGAGGGACGAATTATACTCAACAAACAGATCTAATACTACTGTATACATCAACTGCACGTAAAATTCAGCACACATTTAAATATATGTTATTTACCTTTATTTACAGGTTGTGTTGTAAGAATTATTGTCCTTATTAACTATATCTTGTTAAATAAAATATAAAAAATAAAAATATATATCTATCTCTGTATCTATATATCTGTCTGTCTATCTACCCATATATCTATCTGTCTGTCTACTTATCTACCCATCTATCTGTCTATCTATCTAAACATGTTGCTCCCTGTTGGAGCATAGGGTATTCGTGAAATGCTTAGTTTCAATCCAGTTCCTTTATCTTAGAGAGTCAGTAGAACCCCAAGGACGGGGGATCAGCCCGTCGCAAGGCTGCTACTTACACATAAAAAAAAAGAATAAAAGCATAAAAACATCCATGTATTGAGTGGGATTCGAACCCACGGATCGCAGCGTTCGAGCAGGTGAAGACACATCATACCTTAGACCACTAGGCCACTGTGATCGGCGAAATATAATACATAAGACTCTGTTTCAATAACACCTTTTCGGAACGACATATTTTGACTTTAATATTTACACATGTCAAGTCCTTGCTGTTCCGTTTTGTGTTGGAGTGAAGATGATCTCATTTTGTTTGTTGTTTCCAGACAAGATGCAGCCTCAGGTGGTGCTGGTCCTCGTGTCCCTCGCTGCAGGCTTTGCTACAGCACAGTTCTTCGTACAGGGACCAGGCCTCACGTTTCAGGGACAGCCCCTACCGTTTCCACAAGAGCATTTCGTCGATCCAGCTAAACGCGCCCTAGCTCACCGAGCTGTCCTCGTTAACTCGCAGGCCGAAGCTCAACTGCCGCCTTCACTTCAGAATCCCTTCTACAAGAACCCACGCATCGAGGCCGTTCTAGCAAAAGAGTCATGGTTCACACCCGGAGAACAGCAAGTCCGTGAACGGGAGGCGGAAAAGATTCCCCGCCAGAAGATCTACAGCATTCTCAAGAACGCCGGACTTGTGCAGCGCCGATGATCACGTCATGGATACGTCATTAACACATCTCGGGCGCGGCATCGCCACGCCATAGACACCTCACGATTTCATTGTCAGCCATCAAGATGTAACGAGATCCTTCTACTTGTTGAGAAATTCCGTTACAGAGAGACTTAAACAATGATCCAGCTTCCATGTTTGATTCATCAGTCAACAAATAGACTCAAAACTGTGATCTATCAGCAATTAAATTGTGAAATATTAATTTATGTTGATAGAAATACTAGTTATTTAACACGGCGAATGTCAAAAAGGGTGACAGGTGTCTCGTTTTGAAATGTAGCTATATTGTCTTAATTCATCATATAGACACTGACAGGACGGACAGGGCTGCAGGCACACATTTGAACCTTAGCATTCATAAGCATCGTGTCGCATCTTGACACACTACAGTTTCAGAAGCTGATACAGCGTCTGAAGGGAACTTGGGTACTGAATATGTTCTCCAAGAAAATGAGTCGCTATTCACGCGGGATGTATATGCTCTTATTATTAACATCTCATTATATCACAGCTAACAATTCGAAAAGGAATGCTACTGAAATTTAAAGATAAAATTTCGCTGAAAAGAAGAACCATGATTCGAAACTTTTGGGAAAGGCAATCGAATCACGTTTGAATGCTTTAACACAATGCTAGCGTATTACTTCAACGGGAGTGACTACGGGTCCATGCTGTGGGCAGTGGGAAGTGAATGTCATATCCTAGCGCATTCTCAGGTCTGCGATGGAAACAAGACATATCAGAAAAGAGGCAGACATGTCAGAATATTGTGCAAATATATTAGGCAACGCGGAATCTGTTCTAAACTGTTTCCAGTGCAAAGCGTATATCAAGAGCCACACCCGAAAACAACAAATTAAATGCCTTTTGTAAGACAGTGACATCCATGGAAATTAGAATCTGTGTCGTCAGTGATAGCTTGTGTCTTGCAAGCTGTACTAATTGTGTTCTTAATACTCGTAAGACTTGCCGTAAATATAGTCACAATGAAACAACGACACCAAAGTCACAACATAATTAACTGTTATGAAAGAGAAAATAATTTATTTTTACGTGAAGCATGACACAGAACCCACGCAGTCAAGATTTCTCAGGAAATTCTCTCCGTGACATCTACTCTTGGAGTCATGAGGTAACGCGTCGTTACAGTGTCTCTGCATCCCGAGAGATGGCAGTGCTAGAGCTTCACATAATACACGTACACAAGGCGCTGAGTTCAGAGATGCGCAGTAATTGAGCGCCAAACAAGTTTTCAGTCCCTTCCGCAAAGGCTTCTCCAAACGATTTGTTTTAAATTTATGAGTATATTCATTACAGAAACCCACCACAAAATTCGTCTTCAAACCCAGTATTGGTACAGGAACATGTCCTTCCCCTCTTAACTGTTTCCTTCTCTCTGTTACACCAGTTTCTTTTGTGCGCTCTGTCTACGGTTCATTCAGCCTTCTTCATCTTCCTTGGTCTTTCTTCACACATTCTTCGTTCAGTTGAGAGGGGGAGATGTAAGGGGACACGCGGTAGGGTAGTGGTCGAGGCACTCTGCTGCAAGCCGGAAGATCGCCGGTTCGATTCCCGATGAGATTATTGGATTTTTTTTTCAATTGACCTAATCATTCAAGCCGCAATACAGCCATGTGGTCGACTCAGCGTCTAACACAAATGAGTACAAGAAATCTTCCTGAGGGTAAAGGGCAGCCGGCGCGTAAGGCTGACAACCTAACCGACATCTGTGAGACGATTGTGTAGAAAATGTGGGGGCCTCGCCCTCTCAAAACCATATGGGCTTCCACAGCCTGTTACAAGGATAGCTTTAAGGAGAGATGTAATATTCGTTTCCCTGCACACACATTAGAGCTACTTTTCTTCTTCCTAGCCGTATTCCGGACTATCAATTTACACTATTTCCCTTTTTCATAAGCGAATATACAGCCACTTTCGTTGTCACCCTTCTTCCTGCGTCTTCTTAAATCTCTCTCCCGCTCAGATTAAATCATGTATCTTTTGAGGAATTCTGTAAACACACTCTGTAGCCGCTCTTCTCTTTAATCACGAACTATTCTTTTCTCTGGAGAATGTAACAAGTTCGTGAATCATTATGTGATGCCTCTCCGATTGCCAGAGATTCGTTGCGTAGAATTTAAATTCCGTTTCTAATGATCTTTTCGGAGAAGCCTAATATTAAAAAGTAATTAAATGCAATTCTTTACGTAAATTGAACCAGAAACAGTCATTTTTACGCGTCACACTATCCTTTTACTCTGGCCTTACTTATGCATTTTGTTCAAAATTCATCACTTTGCCTTACGCGTTCCTCTTAGTTCGTAGAGAGAGTCCCATGGCAGATCTATTTTCTTGTGTGCTGTCCCCATTATCAAATCAACTTTACCATTAGCTGCACTGGCGTAGAACTTACTTACTTACTTACTAACTCACTCATGGAGCTAAGCCCTTCTTGAGGAGCAGCCAATTCTGCAGCTATTGAAGAATTTCCCAGCATTTTATGGAAACCGAAGGTTCATTACCTAGTTCACAAGAGCCCTCCACTGGTCCCTATCCTAATCCAGATCTATCCAATCCATACCATCCCATCCTATCTCTCTAAGATCCATTCTAATATTGTCCACCCACCTACGCCATGGTATTCCCTGTGGTCTCTTTCCTTCTGGCTTTCCCACCAATATCCTATACGCATTCCTCGTCTCCCCCATTCGTGCTACATGACCTGCCCACCTCATCCTCCTTGACTTGATCATTCTAATTATACTTGGAGAAGAGTACAAGTTATGAAGCTCCTCATTATGCAGTTTTCTCCAACCTCCTGTCACTTCATCTCTCTTCGCTCCAAATATTCTCCTCAACACCATATTCTCAAACACCCTCAGTCAATGTTCCTCCCTTTGTGTCAGAGACCAAGTTTCACGCCCATACAGAACCACAGGCAAAATTATAGTTTTGTATATTCTAATTTTTATGTTATTGGACAACAGACGAGAAGACAAAAGGTTCTGGACTAAATAGTAGCAAGCATTACCCGAGTTCAATCGCCTCTTAATTTCCTCCTGAATCAGGTTTCGATCTGTTATCGTAGAACAGTTGACGTAATTATTTTCCCCTCTTTTCTAGTTCGATCAATTTTACTTCGAGGAAGATAATAGAGACCGTTGCCCTGAAGGTACTATTTTGTATCTACAGCGCAGCCTCTAAGTATAAAGTAAAATGAAATTGCAGCTACCCTTGTACAGTTCGTGGAGGCCCATAGGGTTGTGAGACGTCGAGGTTCCCACATTTTCTCTAGAAAATCGGCTCACAGATAGCAGTGAGATTGTCAGCCTTAAGTGCCGGCCGCTCACATTTCACCCCCAGGAAGATTCCTGGTACTCATTACTGTTAGAGGCTGAGTTGATCCTAGGGATATAGTGCGGCTGGAAAGATTATGTCAATTTAAAAATCCAATGACCTCATCGGGAATCGAACATGCGACCTTTCAGCTTGTAGCATAGTGCCTCAACCAAATGCTACCGCGTGCCCAAGTAGCTCATTATATTTTGGTGTTAATTATTTATACAACATATTTCAATGATATCGAACTCACTATTTTGTCAAAAATATTCATGTTTTCCGTTCGATTCTTAGACTAAAAAAGATACATTTCTTAAATATTAATCGAATGACCTTCATGTTTTCTCTGAGAGGAATGTAATTGTAAATAACATTTAGGCTAGCGCGTTTTATTTCCCGTCGAAGCAGGAGCAAATGATGTGTTGATATCTGGATTCTAATGCTAGTACAGTAAAGCCCCTGTTCAGTTCCTTTCTTCAGCTGCGTAGCCACAAAACAGGACAGTTCTCATTCGTCTCGTTTCCTTAAGTCCCAGCGCCTTTTCTTGTCTCCAGTCGCCGAGTACCGAAAGCGTGAGCAGGCACTTACTTACAATTTCTTGTAGTTTTCATATCTTCGCTTTCTGATGTGTCTGTGTGGCTCCAACTTCCTTATCTCTGAAGCAGGAGCAGGCATTGCTGGCCACCCTTCACAGGCGAAGAGTTCCTAGTAGCCCTCACTAAACTTTATTCATCAGAAAGGCGGATATACCTACCCATACGCCTGCATTAAGAGTTTCTGAACAAAGAAGAATCCAGTGATTGAGGTTACCCCTTTCTAAGGGACCCAACAAAGTAAATGTTTTTCCCTTCTCACCTGAGGACGGTAACAGATCCACATTCCGAATCATTGTGTTTTCTAGTTTCTAAAATACCGGAAGAGAGACAAGGTCCAAAATCCATGTAATTCTGAAAACAAAAATCATTTCTTTAAAATTAGTTTTTAGCTTAATGTATATATTTGCGGTATTTTGTGTTTAAGAAATGTAAGGTTTTATCCGGGTTTTCCACAAGAGCGAATTTTCGGTCCGTACCGTAAACTGTATGGCCATGTGTTACAGCACCCACAAGAGCGAGCGTTATTTCTGCATGCAGCAGGGAACAAAGTGAAAACTGTTGAATCTCACAGCGCCGTCTATGAGCAGTACTTTCTCCTGTTATGCGACGCCATATCGCTTGGTAGAAGTCCACATGCGTTCGGAAGAACGTGCTGCCTATATCTTCAGGATCGAAAGACACTGCAGTGAAGTAATCAACAAGAAACAAGCGGCAAGCAAACTTCTTTGAACTTCTACCGTGATGCTTTGCGTCATATCCCAGAATACAGCATTCCTCAGAGCGACATATATTTAATATGTGCAATAATGCTCCGATCAGTATCATCATTGAATACTCAAGCCCTACTCTGTATGCGGTGGCTACTTCAGACACAATTCAGTGTTGAATGTTGTGATACGGAAACATTTCTTAGCTGTTATAAAATACTGTACGATATGCGCTCTTATGTGTATATATATATATATATAGATGATTGTGTAAGAATGTATACAACGTATTCGTGTTATTTCTTATTGTATTTGTGTTTAACATGTTCTATGTGAATTAGAAGATGCTGTCTTATTTGTCTTCACATATTCTCTCCAACCGGAAACTTCCATACTCTGTGTCCTCGGCATCGAGATGAAATTTTCACTCTATTCGGAAATTCGCGACTTCTACTCAAGGAACGCGGGTAGGTAACGTGGTATTCCTCAGCATCTCTAGGGAAATGCGAAAACAGTAAACTAATATTAAAACAGATATGGCAGTTTCCTGTCGCAGACTTCTCAGTTCAACATTCGCGGTCTCCAATTCTGCATTTCATAACCTTTGCAAGATAGCAAGGGCTAAATCTAAATCTCTGCTCTGATGTCTCTCTATTTCTCTCTCTGTCTTGAATCTCTAGTTTCTACTTCTTGACCTCACGAATGCAGTGCCTTTTATAACTGCTAGGCGGCCCGCATGGAAGATACCACGTCAAACAGTTAATTGTTCTCTGCTGTCCTGTTGCTTGTGAAGGAGATCTTGGGTTCAGCAAATTGTTACTTGGTAACGACTCGTTCGCTGCTATACGTTGTAAAGGGAACGTGATTTCCGAGCCGTTACTTAGCAACGGACGTCTGTCTCTGGTTCCACTTTTCCGACTATCGGCCGTTACCTCACAATACAAATTACCCAATTGCAACGATGTTACATTCATGTTGTCCAGACTTAACACCGACAGAGCAACGGGCCACAGCTTGGACATCCGGAGTTCGAATCCCGGCAGCGGCAAAATTTTCTCCTGTCCGCAGTGTCCAGACTTGCTCTGCGGCCCACCCACCATCCCATCCAATGGGTACCAGGGTAAAGCGATTGCAGTTTGAAGTTGATGGCTTATCTCCGTCTAGTGCCGAGGGTGAGGATGGTGGATCTGTACCTACCCCACCCCCTTCCTGCTTACGTCTTCATGGCACAACTTTATTCCTTTATTAAAGTTAGACCGTTTTCGGGATTTTCTTCAGTCTCTTCAGGATAATTCCGCCACAGTACCTCACAGTTAGTCAGCCACTTAATTTCCACTGATAATCCTACCATTCGGCACTACACGGAATGGCCTACTGACAGCGCCATTAAAAAAGCCAAATACAGGGGCGGGTGTCGGGTAATGAAGTCCTAACGCACCGCCAAGTGAGCTCTGTACAAGAAAGTGATTTTAGCGATGTGCATTTTGTTTGCAGGAGCTCAGATCCCGGCTCTGACATTAAAGGAACAACACAAAGTGAGGAGTGTTTGAAAACGGCGCTGAGGAATATATTCGGACCCAAGAGTGATAAAGGAATATGAGGCTAGCGAAAAGTGCACAAAGAGGAGCCTCACTGTTCGGAGTTTACGCCATATAACCCTAGGAAGATCAAATCATGGAGAATGAGATGGGGAGGATACGTAGCAGACATGGTAGAGAAGAGAGCAGAAACAGAGATTGTAATGTGGTTAGTTTACGTTCGCGTGTGTGAGGATGGTGATTCACACGCGAACTCAGGATGTTAAGGAATGTGTCGCTACGTCTGGAGACGTAGAAGGTAACGTGTTGTTTAGCTGCCACCACTTGGTGATACTGCACCAAGACAGGTGCGATGTTGATGCACGTGGAACAGGTAGGGTGCACTGGCC